GTCAGTCCAAATTAACTTCTGGTGACGAGAACCATGCATGTTAGAAACTCGCTAACATAGAAACGAGGCTAAGAATAAAAGAATCCTCTTTAACGACATTGCTTAGGAAAATTTGCGACAAAAGCCTTCAAACATAAGAACCGACTCATTTTCTATCCATTTGTATCCATCTTATGCTATTATGGTACTATCCTCTTTGATATTTATCATAATGTTTGGGTGCCCTGAGGTTAAACGTTAAATATATCTGTTTACGTTATTTTCTGAATCACGATTGGTAAAACTTGTTTACCTTAGAAACAACAAGCTTATGTCTTTGGCTGATTTGACGTTCTCGTCCGTTACTTTATTAAAATTAACCAGCTATTATAAATAAGCTTTGGTTAACAGATTTGGGATACTTGTAGTAAATTGTTCAGCTACACCTCTCTGAACGGCGCTTTGGGTGAGATCCTAAAATGTTCTCCTATCTAACCAAAATTCAACAAATGATTAATGTAATGAATAATTCTTAGTCGATCTACTCTGGTCGTTAGTGACACCGTACTTTGTAAATATTTGTGGCTGTTAGAAGTTGCCGCCACAGTTGCACAAACCAGAACATGCCGAATTAGCCTTTAAGCACTTGCATGGTTCTCTACATGAGGCTCTGCATCCACATCAAATGAGTTCGCTGTCCAGAATGGCGACCAGTAGTTGTTGAGCTGTCGCCACCCCCAGGCTGATGGGCTTGGAAGCACTGGCTGATAAAGGATGGTTTGGCACCATACGTAGCCTCCTTGGAACACTGCTCTTTTGACGTGTTGCTCAAGTCACGATCCAGTGGGAGGGATACTGTCTAAGCTTCTAGACCTCTTTTAAAAGAGCTTTTGTTGCGCCTCGTTTACTTTCGTAAGGCTGCTTTACGGTTATATATAAGGACAACAAACCTCTCAAGGAAAGCCATGTATTCCTCTGTGATCTCTTGTGGTGATGCTTTGAGGACTTTTAGCACTAGCGTCAGTTGAGAAAACAAGTTCCACACATCCTAAGCCGTTTTCTTTCCACGCCCTCTAAAAAAAGACGAAACAGTATCACACCCAATTGGTGCATGGAAAATTGGTAGGGTCGAGGCCTTATCAGGACCCAGGGATATTGCTAGGATATTTTGTACATTCTTTCCAGATCCATAGGTGATCCAGAGTTCATCTGTTGGAGGAGTGCTAGCCACTGAAATAGCAAGTACAACAACATCGGTATCATTGTTTCTAATTCTATTTCATCGATGTCCGCTTGAGGCTGCATAGAGTGCCTCGACCGTAAGG